CCCACACCCCTACCCCCTCAAGAGTCGACAATCCGCTCCAGTGCCACTTGACGCCTCAGCCAAAGCCCCGGTTGTTTGCACATGTCGACCCCCTCCCCCTTACCCTACAGCCCCACCCTCCAGACACCAGGCTGCTGGCAGCGTCCACGACCACTCCCCACCCTCCTATCGCCCCTTCACACCACAACAACCAATCACAAGATTGTCCCCCTTGCGTCCACAATCCCATTCTCGCTCCCCCAATCACAACCAACCCCCCGATAGCCCCTCACGTCCACGACGGCCTTGACAAAGCCCAGCCCGCCCTTCATCGTCGGCTGCATCAGTGCAGGCCCAAAGCGCTGCGGGTGGCGCCAGCGGTTGAAGCCTCCGGAGACGAACACGTCGGGGCGGCCGCGCAGGGGCGTGAGGGTCGGGTTGTAGTGAAGCTCGCAGGTCTGCGGGCGGCGGCGGGCCAGGGTTGAGGGTGTGTTTGCAGAGTCTTGTGGGCGTTGTGTTGCGGGGCTTTCTTGGGACGGCTTTGAAGGAATGTTTGGGGAGGGCGGTCACATGCGAATGGGCTGGTGGCACCGGCACTGACAGGCGCGGGGGCTTGAGAGCCAGGGCGGGCTGCTCGTCATGCCACGGACGCATGCACCACGCCTGGGACCGGCGGTCGCGTGCTTGCGACGGCGTGTCCATGCGAGCAACCATGTGTACGCGCGCGTGCATACGCGGGCACGCGCAGCGCCTCACAGCCCCGCACCTCTCCGGCGTTGGGCACGAGCGGCACCGTGAACAGCACCTCCTGCTGCGCCTCCCGCCGCTTGCGCGCCACGCGAGCGCGCGACTCGACGCGGCGCGCTGCGACGGGAGGGCAGGAGCGGCGGCCAGAAACGCAAGCGGCGGCAAGAACGGGTCAGCATTGAATGGCGGTTCATCAGGTCTTGACCCTGAGAGCTGCAGTGCACAGCAGAAATCCCTGTCACCCCCATGGCATACATTCAGGACACGAATTGGTGCAGACAACCCGCAACCGGTGCGCCCCTGGCGCCGTCGGTACCCGCCGCGCAGCCCAGCGGCTCTGGGCCCCCACCCGCGCGCGTGGCCGCCCGCTCCTCCGCCGCCAGGTCAGCGTCCTCGCTCTCGCGCGTCATGGCGGCCAGCACCGTCTCCAGCAGGTTCTCAGCATCCAGGGGGTCCTCCACCGCCGTGTGGTAGTCGCGGCCGTTGTTGTTGTCCCACGCGCGCTGGTCCCTGAAGCGTACGGCATATGTAGAGGAGGTAAGAGGGTTGGCATGCGGGGTGCGGGGATGCCAGGAATGGGGTGGGGAGGGCACACGTGCTTGAGACGGGGAGGGGGGGCGCAAGCGCTTGGTCCGCAGGGCGCCGAGCGGGGCACCCGCAGTTGTACCCTGCTTCGTCCAAACCCGGCGTAACATGCTTCCCGGCGCCTTCCACAGCCATGTGTGGTGCCCAGATAGGGCCGCGAGTGCATCGTTATTTAAAGTGGTGCCCACCTGTCGCTGAAGACAAAGTCCAGCAGCTCTGCGTTGCGGGGGACGTCGACCCACACGCCGCACCAGCTGCCGCCTGAGGGCGGCAGCCCCAGCTCCTTGAGCTCACTGGAGCTCAGGGGGGCCATGTCAAAGACCTGCGACGCGATGTTGCGATGCCCATTGATAAAAGATGAGAGAGAGCGCAGACCAGGGCAGATCGATCTGCACGTGGATAGCCACGAAACTGCGGTGGAGCGCTTCATCTGCATGTGTACTTGCGAGCTGTGTGATCTTCTGCCAGCACCTCCATGCAGAACCCCTCAGCCGCCCCGCTGCACCCCAACTCCCGCATGACGTGACCCACCGTCTTCTGCTTGTCCTTCCAGCCGTCCACCCCCAGGTGCAGCTTCGCGCTGTTGGTGTGCGCCAGCTTCCCGCTCCCGCAGTTGTACGCCAGCAGCATCCGCTCGCCCGCGCGCACGGCGCCGTCGCCGCCGCCCCACGCGTACACGTTTGGCTGGGAGGGCGCCCGCGGGATGGAGGCGAGCGCGGGGTCGCGGCGCCGCGTGGTGGCCTCGGTCGCCGCCGCCAGGAGCTCCCTCGCGCGGCGCTCCCTAGTCGCGAGAGTGGGTGGCGCGGGCGGACGAGGGCGGGAGATCTGAGTCACGGAATAGTCCTTGCTGTGGTGCGCGTGCGAGATCGTCCGCGGCACATGGACAGGCACGGGACAGTCACGCCCTCAGCTCTGCAGACAGGCGCCACGGGGGTGGCACGCAAGACGCTGCCTGGATTGCCAAGGCGGCCCCGCCCAGGCAGCCTGCATGCCAAACACTCGTGCGCTTGTCCCTGTCGCACCTCGGCATGGGCCCTGATCCTCACCTGAACTCCACTCGCGCCTTCTCAGCAGCTTCCTTCGCCACCGCTTCCACCAGCGCCCACTGCCGATCCTCCTCTGCCTGCAGCATCTCATGGCGCTTGCGCTCGGACTGACAGAAGAGGAGGCAGGAGGAGGTGGGGGGATACGACGGCGGCAGCGGTGCCAGGTTTGAAGCGTGCCATGAGCGGGGCCGGGGGCGAAGGCGGCCTGGCACGGAGCGCTGGCAGCTCCTGGGTTTGCCTTGAGAAACCATTGGGTACTAAAAGATTGCTGTCAGTCACTGGCGATCATCGTTCTTAGTGGTGGCGCCGTCCCTGACAAGCTGCGGCGCGTGCCTCGGGGCGCACCTCTGCAAAGGCGGCCGTGCGGCGGTCGATGACCTCCTGCTCCGTCGGGCCGCCCATCAGCGGCAGGTGGAAGTCCTGCAGGCAATGGCAGCATGGCATGGCGCTCAACGCGTTCAGGGGCGTGTGTGACGCAGGCGCGTCAGGCGCGGCATCTCGCACGCCGGCGCACCTGCGGCCACCCCCCCCCCTCGAGCTGCCACGCGCAGTGGCAGCGCCTGGCATGCTTCAGCTGCAGAGCCGCATGCAGCCAGCAGCGTGACCTGAGTCTGAGTTTGCCCTCGCGCCGACCCCCGCCATGTCCGCAATCACCGGCCCTTGCCCGCGCACCTGCGCCTTGTTGTTGTCAACACCGCCCGTCACAGCGTCCACGATGACATAGTCGAACCTGCAGCGATTCGAATGCAGATCGCGACAGCCGGCGGCATCAAGCCAGCAGTTGTCAACCCGTCGCAGCTTGATCTGCGTGCGGAGCTTGCCGCCCTCTCGCTGCCATGCGCCCGGCCACGCCGGCCTCCCACCCCCGCAGGGCCGCCGGGGGGCATCCCATCAACCCCAAACCCAAACCCGCAACACTCACTGGAACAGCTCCTCTGGCAGCTGCACGTCGGCTTCCCACCAGTCCTGCCCGTCCAGCCCCACCAGGACGTCCGCCCGCCGCATGTCCAGCAGCAGGATCTCCTCCCACTTGTTCAGCCCTGCCTTGATCCGCGGCCGCGCGTCCCGCGACAGGGGCCCGCGTGCGCGGTCGTAGTATAGCTTGATGGTCGTCCCCACACGCCCGCCCGCGACTCCCGCTGGCCACGTGAACGTGCCCTGCCCCGCGCGCCGCGCCGCCTCCGCGAGACGCACAAGCTCCTCGCCCCTCGCCGCCGGTGGCGCGGCGGCTGGCGCAGCGACGGCAGCGGCGGGCGCGACGGCGCCCTCAAGCGCGGCGCCGAGCCC